GTGATCCTTGATTAATTTCCTTCAAAATAAAAAAAATTTAACCGCGCTCGAGAAAATCCATGTCACGTTTTTTTTTGCAACTTTGTGACTCTCCCATTTCCTTACGTCACGCTGAAATCGTCAGATTATTGAAATGTACACTTTTCCACATGTAATTAACACACCATACTTTAATCTGACGCGCTCGAGTTTTTCGAACGATCGATTTTTTTTACTAATCTGACGGGCTCCCCTGGACCCCCGGCTCTATATAGAGGTTTAATATATGGTGGGGGTACTTATTAGGGTGCAAGCTTTCCCCCTTTATGTTATTCTGACGCGCTCGAGTAAATCCCAAAATCCCCGCTTGGCCTCCCCTACTACAATAATTGTAGAACATTTCATGATCTACTAATTGCATTTCTTTGACCAGATTATTACAGGCACCCTGTAATAATCTTCGTTTTTCTCTGTGAATATTGGGCGTACACACATTCTATGATGAGCTTCTTCTTTTTAATGTACCATCAGTTTCCACATTCCAAATAATCGTAGTATGTGACGACGCCTAGCTGTCCGTTGTTGAGATGTTTGCTTAACCATCTTCCATTTTTGCCAGCGCTTCCACGTTATAAGTAACAATGTGTCAGGATCCATACTTTTCTGAAATAAACTGAGTTACTTAACCTATCCAATCAGCACACAATATTTAAAAACATCTTTTAAACGAAGACAAGACCGATAAGACTATATCTATAAGTATATTAATCAGCAATTAACTATTCCGGATAATTATCTTAAAGCGTGCTTACAGCTCGGCGGATCAGAACGGAATCCCTCCACTCTTCTTCTTCTAAATTTGTACAAACGCGTATTGTATGTACGCGATGGAAAAGTACCGGTTCCCCATGAGGCGTACTTTTCGAGATGCGTAGGTTACAAAAACCAATCGTAAATTCATTTAGCATTTCTTTAGAGTGTAGAACAGAAATTCTAATCAGCAATTGGTTGCATTAGTTCCGCATTTCTCTAATCTTCCGCGAAATACGCTCAATGTGAATGCGGGCTTTCAGAATGGCGTATTCTAGTAAATAAAAAATAACGTATTCTAGTATATCACTAGAATACGCAGGTTAAGCTTACGCAGGTTACCGCATATGACGGCACCCTTAAGGTGAGGTCCCATGCAGCGGATCGTGCGTAAGCGGATTCGCGTATCGCCAATCACAGAATCATTCTCTTAGATCTGTTTGTAAATTTCGCAAGCATATCTAAGAGAATGATTCTGTGATTGGCGATACGCGAATCCGCTTACGCACGATCCACTGCATGGGACCTCACCCTGAGAGTCCTAGATTTATCAGAGAGGCGCAACTGATGTTATGCATTCTGATTCGCTGTTGCAATCTAACCAATTGCGTGACTTGGCAGCCATTTATAGTACTAGTGACATATTTCTATTTCATTTTATCCTATACATTCTATCTCACATTATCCTACACGTCTTATCTTGTTGACATAGTTTAAAGGCAGTTTCATAGTATGTAGGCCGTGTTTAGTACTCTCTTTAGCACCTTTGTCATACTGACTTAAGCCGTTTGCGCCTCTCTGATAAATCGGGAGGGCTCCGATTGCACACATCGCATATTGCACACATGTATCGCTGATTGGCCAATTTAAAAATAAAATAATCTCATTGGCAAAACAGTGAAAAATTACTAGGCACCAGTTGATATGAGTGGTGTGTACAATCAGAACTGTAGGCAAATGGGATCCTCCCGATAAATCTAGGACTCTAAGCAGTATGAACTCCTGGGAGTTCATTTTGTCGAATTTCATAAGCTCCTCGAGAGCTCAGCAAAATGAACTCCCAGGGAACTTGGACGGAGTTTTGCGCTGTGTGGGTTATATATTAAATAATACTTACAAAAATTTGTCAGACGTTTTGGCTACACTTCAAGCCATCTTCAGTGAAACGTCTGACAAATTTTTATAAGTATTATTTAATAAATAAATATTTGTTTGCACGACTTACCGCAAATTAACTCTCATGAACATGTAGAAAAGACATGAACTACTCTAAAGTTTTATTGGTCTGTAGGACACAAAGTAATTAAAGGATAGCTTACCGGAATTACAAAATTGTTATAGGCTTGCGCACGTTAAATCAGCTGATAACGTGATAACTGGAAGCTCGGTAGCGACGTAACGTAACCGTCAGCCGGCCGCCCGGGAAAACAAAACAGAGTGCCCGGAAGTGCCTGCACGCAGCACCGCGTACGATCCTGTTAATAGTAATCTATATATGCGCAAAGGAGATGCGTATTCATCTCCGAAACGGCTCCGCATCTCCCCAACTCTACCAAAAACGCCTTAAATTGGAAACACAATAGACACAGACAATAGGCACAGGCAACAGGGAATAACGAGCCGTCCAATCAGAGCTCTGGGATATAATATCGAACTTATACCCCAAAGCTCTGATTGGACGGCTCGTTATTCCCTGTTGCCTGTGTCTATTGTGTTTCCAGCTTTAAAATGCGGAGATATCCGCATTTCTGGCAACCCTGAAAATAGGACGCTCCGATTCGCCAGTGTGCGCCCATTATGGGGGGGGGCGATCCACACGCTGTTGTTCTGTCGCTCTTGGGGAGGACCGGCGTGTGGTGCTGTTCGACGCCCTAGGCACAGTATATACAGTAGCGCAACTCTCCCGATTTTATGTTGGCCAAAATGGAATGCGCATGCGTGAAATAAGCAAGTTTCCCCATCTCATTTCCTCCTTCTTTATTGCTCTCTTTCTATTTAAATGACCGTTTCAATGTTCCATTTAAAGAGCTGAGAGTAGAAATTTGGAGAGAAATATAACGTGCAATCGTACATCGTCCATATTTTTTTGCATTCTAAGTGAGCTGTGATCGGCTTCGGACGTGTTATTGCGTCATCATTTTTGGAAAGTGTGACCGACTTCCAACTCGCAATTGAGTTTGTTACTCTTTTAAGCGGGGAGCACAGACTCTTGCATAACGCATAACACGTAATGCATAAGAATATGTACCAATCGAAGTTCTCCCTTTCTTTCCCTTCCATGTAATAGAGGCATAAGAAATTGAACCAACTCTGGTTGGTTCAATTTCTTATGCCTCATGTGTTATGCGTTATGCAAGAGTCTGTGCTCCCCGCTTTAGGGCTCTCACACATGAAATGCATAACAGAGCATAAGCATAACATAAGACTGCTGGACCAATGAGCATCTAGTATAATGTCGCCATATTGATTTAGATAGGATGCTCATTGGTTTAGCGGTCTTATGTTATACTTATGCTCTGTTATGCATTTCATGTGTGAGAGCCCTTAGGCCGGTATTCATAGTCCGATCTTATATTTAAGACCGTCTTAAGTACAGTCTTAAGATGTCATGAACCAATCAGAGGGCCGCATTAGCACACAACTTAGACATTACTTAAGACGGTCTTGAAATAAGAACCGACTATGAATACCGGCCTTAGACTTTTGTTACTCACCGCATAAGCGGCATTTTCGATTCTGGCCGTATCGATACTAGGTGCATCCAGAAGCACGACCGCTCATTGAGCGCTCATTGAGCTCTTGTATCTGTTTGATCTATATTTTTCGGTCTAATGGAATATGCCAATCAGATGCAAGAGCTCACTGAGCAGTCGTGCTTCTGGATGCACCCAATGTGTTAAGAGTCGGGGCCATTCTCACAAGAAGAAGAAGAAGAAGAAGAAGTACATCGTTCATTTAGCGAAGTGTTGTGTAAGAAACCTCAAGAGACTAGTCTCGTGGAAAAGTGAAAAAGTGAAGTGAAAAAGTGAACGAAAATAACAAAGAAAACCGAACAAGAAAGATTTCTTTTTGAGAGAATAGTTAACCTATATAACTATATAGATTAGCAATTCTCTTGGAAGAGCACTTTGACATTAGCTCTCTGTTTCAGGTGCTGTGTCAACTCCAAAAAATTGTAAAAAAAGAAGAACAATATAAAATGATTAAAGGAAAAAACATATGGTGTGCAGTACCAGCTACCAGCGTGCACAAAAAAATTTAATGTAGAAGAGCGTTATTTTTTCCGATTTCCGAAGGAACATGAAAGGTATGTTGTTTTTATCACTTTTTATATAAATCAATTTTTAATTCTGTGTACATTGTTACATTGATACGACCCGCTTGCAGCACGGTTAATAGCATGAAGAGGGCATAAGAAGGTACATACATTACGATAAGTCCATATCCATGTATACTTGCGCATGCGTTGTGTGTCCGTCTACACTCTCTTCATGTTAGTAACTATGCTGCAAGCAAGTTGGAATTCGCATCACTGCATTGTTATTGATACAATATCTAATTTGTAGATGATTGCAATGGATACGATCATGTGGAAGGCTGAACTTAGAACCAAAAGGTCCAGAATATGTGTACCACAATTGTCGGTTGTGCCATTTGCATTTTGAATAAAAATGGTACACAATAAATAAAATGAGAGCTTCATCCAGATGCCATACTGACAATATTTTTTGTACTAGAATGTGGGAAGTGAGTTTCTACTTATAATTTAATTTATTTTTTAGTGAACACAAAGTCTGTTTTTAATAGAGATATAAAAGGGAATGTAGTTTATTTAAAAATTAATTTAAAAATAATTTATACCTATGAAGTCTTGTTTAATAAGTGATAATGAGCAAAACAATATTTTATTTTTCATTTATTATTACAAATAATTTATGAAATCAGGAAATAATAATTATCTCTTTTCAGAGAAAACACACTTGACATGGACATTAAAGACGAAGCAGAAACAAATAAGTATGTTATAAATGCTTTGAAAATAATACAATAGAATAAGAACGACTCAATTAATTTCAATACAGAAACTTTAATGGTGAGTTGGCTATTAGAGCCTTACGCCAGTTATTAAATTGCGAATATCAATATCAATGTAAAGGTATTATTTACAGATTATACTACATGGGCTGAAAAGTCCCGGGATTTTTAATGAAAACAAGCGGTTTTTGGGCAAAGTTATATTTATTCCTCAACATAGTTGCCTTCGAGGGCGATACACTTGGTATAGCGATTTTCCAACATTTCAATGCCCTTTCTGTAGTACGAAACGTCCAAGCCTTCGAAATACGCCTCGGTTTCCGCGATGACTTCCTCATTCGATCTGAATCTCTTTCCCTGGAGCCACCGCTTGAGGTTTGGGAACAGATAATAGTCGCTGGGGGCCCAAATCTGGAGAATACGGTGGGTGAGCAACCAATTAGAATCGTAATTGGTCCAATTTGGCCATCGCTTTCAAGGACGTGTGTGACGGTGCGTTATCGTGATGGTACAGAACTTTTTTCTTTGCCATATGGGGCCGTTTTTTCTTTATTTCGTCGTTCAATTTGTCCAATACTCTCACGTAACTGTTCTTCCCTTCTGCAAGTAATCGATGAAGATTATGCCATGCGCATCCCAAAAAACGGGGGCCATAACCTTCCCGGCCGAGCGTTGGTCTTTTGGCCGCTTTGGTCGGCTTTCATGGCTTTCCAGCCACTCTGCAGATTGCCTATTGGACTCAGGTGTATGGTAATGGACCCACGTTTCATCCATCGTCACAAAACGTCGAAAAAAGTCCGCTCGATTATGCTACAACAACGCCAAACCGGCCGTTGAATCATCAACGCGCTGCTATTTTTGGTCGACGGTCAGCAAACGCGGCACCCATCGCGCTGATAGCTCTTTCATCTCCAAAAGATCGTGCAAAATGTAGGGGAAAGTGGGGGAACTGTGCGCAGCGGGTAATTGTGCGCATCCTGGTTTGGTACTTTTCCAATATATGAAGACATCACCGTGGCGAAATTTTTACGCGGGAAGTCGTCCTCTTAAGATATATCTACAAAAGATACGACGTACATACATCACTAGCCAGAGAAATAAAAGTAAAATTACATTTTTTCTTGTTATTTTAGCATTCAGAAAATAAGGTGGTAATTTCGTATTTTTAATTTGTTTGTTTAAAATTGTACATGTTATTAAAGTACGTTATTATGTGCATCTTTTGAGCTGTTATTTATTAAGTTTGGTTAGGAATTGTTGAAGTAATCGTATTTCGTACCGAGTCAGGACGCGGCGGGTAACTGTGCGCAAGCATTTTAAAATGCGCACAATTACCCATCTTTCATATACTGTATGACTAGCACTAGTTTTTTCGTTTCTTTTTGGCATTACTATTTTATTTTGCCATTTCATTTTGCCAAAGTCTATGTGCATTATTATTATATTAGTTTCGAATTTTTTCTTAATATATACAATGTACAATTAAAATATGTTTAATGTATATTTATATTGCAATATAATGAATATATGTTCTGATTTCTATGTCAACATTCCACAATTCATTCATTTCTTACGATTTTTGTTTTGAGCATAATTATCCGACGCGCGAAAAGTTTTTTCGCTTTTCCGTTTTTTCCTTTTTGCCAAATACAACCTTATTGAATGAAAATCTGTTCAAGATAAGAATACGTAATGGTAGAAGAATGTTTATAGTTTCTATTTTCATATTTATATCACTTTGATCTTAGAAAACCATCCCAAGAAAACAAATATCCCTTAGGTGCGCACAATTCGCCCACTTTCCCCTATCCCGCCCGTTCTTTTGAGATGCCCACGGCCTCAGTTAACTCGCGCAACTTTACTTTACGATCACTCAAAACGATTCGATGCACTTACTTCACGATTTCCGCATTCGTAGCCTCTTTTGGCCTTCCAGAGCGAGGTGCGTCTTCGGTGAATTTTAAATTCACTAAACCACCGATAAACTATTGTTCTCGAAGGAGCAGATGTGGGATAACATTTCTGCAACCATTGCAATGACTGTTCGGAAGTTTTTCCCATCAAAAAACAATGTTTCATCAAGATGAGATATTCTTGTTTTTCCATTTTTTTTACGAAGGCGAAAGTAGCGTCACTCAAACAACTGTAGCTTGTAAACTTCTTCTTCTGTTTTTTGGCCACCGCAGCCTAGACAGGCTGGTACTTGAGGGCCATTGAGTTCTGCGTAAATTGGGGTAATCGTAAGTGGGAGTGCTATGCACCAGCCACCTCGAACCGGGCGAGTAATGGATGATGCAATAAAAATGGTGAGGCGCCTCTTCAAACACTGGACGCCTGTGGCTACGGCGCTTCTACGCCGCACGGCCGCGCGCCAAGACGGATAAAGGGACTATCGAAATTGAAATACTATGGCACAGTCCAAGCCGGCAACGCTTTTCAAAAATATAGTCGAGGTGACGCAACACTCGAGACGAGAGGGATCTATATCAACTTGTAGCTTGTAAACGAATGGACGAAATGTCATGAAACTTCATACATAAACTAGTGACAGATGAGCCTCTCGAAATGAGTCATGTTCATTTTCTAGTGGCGTCACCTATTGAAAAATCCCGGGACTTTTCAGCCTATGTAGTATATCATGAAAACCTAATCATACGACGTTTTGACCCTTACTCTGATCATCCTCAGTGATATTACCAATTTAAACTAATCTTATAACACTATTACAACATGTTCCACTCTATTACTATAATTCTATATTCGTCAATTATCGCAATTGTGTTATTATATCCAAGATTATGCTCCATTATGTGGAACATAGCAGATCCGAGGATTCTTTATTAGATCCATAATCAATACTCTCTTACATCAGTAACCAATTAAGTAAGATTGTAACTGTGAAGTGATGTTGGATATAATAACACAATTGCGATAATAATGGGGAGAATAATCCGGAATGGAAGAACATAATTAATGGAATTATGAGAAGAACACCTTGGTAATGAAGATCACAATTTTTATAATTGACGAATGTAGAATTGTAGAGTTAAATAATAGAGTTGAACATATTGTAATAGTGTTAAGATTAATTTAAATTGGTAATATCACTAAGGATGACCAGAGTAAAGGTCGAAACGTCATATGATTAGGTTTTCAATTATATATCATCTGTAAATAATACCTTTATACATTGATATTAATATTCGCAATTTAATAATTGACGTAAGGCTCTAATAGCCCACTCATTGTTAAAGTTTCTGTATCAAATGCTTTGTATTTAAGTATTTTTGTCTGTATACCTATATATATATATATATA